CTTTCCTTTCGTCAAATGCCTTCTTCTTCTTCCTGTTAGTATGCCGTCTCTTCTTACACACGCATGTACGCGCACGCGCAGAGAGGGAAGGGGGAAGGAGTGAAAGCAGGAGAGATAGGATGGATGGATAGAGGTAGGGAGGGATATATTGAGGGAGAAGGGGAGAGGGAGTATGAAAACGAAAATATTTTTAATAGTTGTGTTTTGTTCATGTTGAACATCAAGTAATGCGTTTCCTTTTATAATTGTGTTGCATTAGTTAAAATATTGTAGCATAAGTCGGGATATCTGCTGGATATTTACTAGCGATTACAACAGTATAATTTTGTAATTAAATATATTGATAAAAAGCTGTTGTTCTAATTCTTAACCACAATAATTCACTTGAGGTTTTGCTTTTGGGAGGAATTAATGTAATAGTAAAAAAATAAATATATCAGAGCAATTGGTCTGTTGGTTTATATACCTCTCTGTCTGTCTGTCTGTCTGTCTGTCTGTCTGTCTGTCTGTCTGTCTGTCTGTCTGTCTGTCTGTCTCTCCCCTCTCTCTCTCTCTCTCTCTCTCTTTCCTCCTGCATTTTCCTCTTCTCTCTGTGTAACCTATACATATTTCCAAGCGACTTTGACTACTTCACTCACCCATGTGTATGTGTATAAAATGCGACGGCGGCCGCAGTATTCAGGAGCAGCCTGGTCGCTCCAGCCCCACAACGAGAGCCCTCCAAGTGGAGAGAGAGGGATGCTCCCTGAAGCCTTCCGCTAAGCTGAATACACACCTTGTATTTACGAGTGTATATTTAACTACGCATATTTGCCAGTGTGTGGGGATTATCATACATCGCAAAGTTAACAGGGAAAGTATATTTTCAGCGGTTGTATATATACAATACGTATCTACAAGCACACACACACAAGTTGGTTGGGATGTATATATGACATGTATATACAAAGATAATCCCAAGACTGTGGTGCTTCAAGCAGAATTTCACCAGCGTCTGTTGACACAAATCTTGAGCTGTGTACGCTAGAAAGAAAAAAATTCCAACACTAAATCAAAATAGCCATGAAACTTAATAATTACAAAAAATAAACTAGTTTAATGTTAAACAACGTGAACAAAATATGGTTACTGATGAAATGGAGTGAGAAAATGTGTAAGAGTTCAGATTATACCGTACTGACTCCTACTCAGGTTATCTAGAATCCCTCTGATGTTTACATATATGACGTCACTAAAGGGTTGGTCCAGCTGATAGGCTTTACGTCTTGGTCAATAATAAGAGAAGGAACCCGCCATCCAACGCGACGTTCACGACTAACCCAAATGTCTAGTGTTGCCAGCTGTTACTCGGCTTGGCAGTTGGTGATCCTGTAATTGCTGATTAAATTGCTCGGTGGGCAGGCTCGCAACTTAAGTAATTGAATTGCTTGCCTGTTTCTTAATGGCCTGCAATGTGCCAAACAAATCATGATTTTACGTGCAATTCGAATTTCGTCGGCCTCTGCAGAGATTCTATATCGATACCTTTTATTTTACTGTACTGATTACGACATCCAATAGCTTTATTGTACGCAAATTTTAATCGAGTTTGTTTCGGTTTGTTTCAGGTTGAAAAACTCACTTTACGCTTAACAATACGACTAGATACGATAATACTACATATCCCAGACCGAGCGAGATAGAAACACATAGAAACCCTCATATGGTTAAAGATTTTTGAACCAGATGGGTTAATATAACTAGCAGGTTGGATTACGGTTATGTTACTAAAATTACCTTCAACCGATTTAGATACCACGGTCTCCTAAGCGAGACTAAAGTTGGAAACTAGTGAGTTGTTAGCCTGGTAGGAGTTCGAGACTGGTGAACTCATCACAACCTCTACAACCTCTACAAAGGGCCTCATACTAGGTATGGTTGCCCACATCTGGGTGGGAGTTATCAGGGAAGAGCGTCAAGCCATTACGACTATATAGCACTTGGAAGGGGTCAGGATAAGGATTTGGGATCGGACGAGGGGGGGGGGGAGGAATGGTGAGATAATGGAGCCTCTCGTGATGTGCACTCAAGAAAGTGCACATCTCATAAGTGCATATGCACTCTCATGAATCCACATATGCAACATAAAACAAATGACACTTCGAAAAAAAATTTCAGTAAGTGCTTCCCAATTGGTTAAGTTTCTTGATTTCTGAAAATTCATGTAGTTGAGCAAAGTCGCTAATTCTGTTGACTTTAAACTTAGATAATTGAAAACAATTCAATAAACACTTATAATTTATTCATGTCTCTATGTTGTTGTTGTTGTTATATCTGTTGTATATTTTTCTTTATGTAGCTGAATGAACAAAAAATGTAACAAATTACATTAGAAAGTAAATACTGCCATTAGAAAAACAATATAAGCTATTAATGAAAATATTGAACTGTATTCCACAGCCTATTGTTAATAGTCAATAAAAATAGTTTTGTTTACAAAATAAAAATAATTATAATACTAATTAACAAAAATTATATACTTGAAAGAAATAGAATCATTTTATCTTCAATTACTATCCAGTAAAAATCAAAACAAAAGAACAAAAGTTTGAATTAAAAATGGCCGATTTTTGGGCTTTAAATTAGACCTAAAAACAAGAAATATATTACGACTGGCATGTACTGTGCCAAGGGAGGTGCTACTTCCTCTTAACTCTTGATACTTGGTGCTACTTCCTCTTAACTCTTGATACTTGGTGCTACTTCCTCTTAACTCTTGATACTTGGTGCTACTTCCTCTTAACTCTTGATACTTGGTGCTACTTCCTCTTAACTCTTGATACTTGGTGCTACTTCCTCTTAACTCTTGATACTTGGTGCTACTTCCTCTTAACTCTTGATACTTGGTGCTACTTCCTCTTAACTCTTGATACTTGGTGCTACTTCCTCTTCACTCTTGATACTTGGTGCTACTTCCTCTTTACTCTTGATACTTGGTGCTACTTACTCTTAACTCTTGATACTTGGAAGTACTTCCTCTTAACTCTTGATACTTGGTGCTACTTTTTCTTCTCTCTTGATACTTGGTGCTACTTCCTCTTCACTCTTGATACTTGGTGCTACTTCCTCTTAACTCTTGATACTTGGAAGTACTTCCTCTTAACTCTTGATACTTGGAAGTACTTCCTCTTAACTCTTGATACTTGGAGGTACTTCCTCTTAACTCTTGATACTTAGTGCTACTTCCTCTTTACTCTTGATACTTGGTGCTACTTCCTCTTCACTCTTGATACTTGGTGCTACTTCCTCTTAACTCTTGATACTTGGTGCTACTTCCTTTTCACTCTTGATACTTGGTGCTACTTCCTCTTAACTCTTGATACTTGGTGCTACTTCCTCTTTACTCTTGATACTTGGTGCTACTTCCTCTTGATACTAGGTGCTACTTCCTCTTTACTCTTGATACTTGGTGCTACTTCCTCTTAACTCTTGATATACTTGGTGCTACTTCCTCTTAACTCTAGATACTTGGTGCTACTTCCTCTTAACTCTTGATATACTTGGTGCTACTTCCTCTTAACTCTAGATACTTGGTGCTACTTCCTCTTCACTCTAACACGTGTAACACGGGTCAGCTGACGTGCCCAGGGAGCGGAGAGCTTCACGCCTGATGTCTTCAATATCATCACAACACTCATCAGAGACTTCAATAGCAAGCTCATCAAAATCATATTTGAATTCATCATCCCAACACTCACCCACAACACCAATGGGTGAGTGTTTTGTGAGTGCTTGTTTTTGTGAGTGTTTTGTGAGTGTGAGTGCTCGCCATTAACATCACTACACTTATCAACATCAATGCCAAGTTGATATCATCACCGGCACTATTATCATCACGATCATCAGCCACATCAATGCCATTGCCACACATGACATTTTCACCATGTATATCATTATCAGCATCATTACCACGGTCATCATTGATATGCTCGTTATCATCAGTAATATCACCAAGCTCATCCTCATCGTCACTCATCATGACTACACTCATTATCGGCTTCACTATAATGACCATAATTTCCACCCACTATAATCACCAAAATATTCATCACTATCGCCGAGCTTAGTAGATATACTGTCATATAATCACCATAATTATCGCTAGCAATCAAATTAGTCTGTTACGGCAGTTTTATCACGTGCATATTGTATTTGTGGCCAACGCTGAGCCTTAAATTATTGGAGAGTAAGACTCGACGATGGAGTATTGCACTTGCGTGGGAATATTCTTAAGCTGCGAACCAATGCGTTCGAGAATCAAGCTGAGCCACAGAGCTGCAGCTTACTATAAAGGTCTGTTAAATCGAGCTTTATTTTATCTTAATTAAATTACTGCAGAAATTAATCGAAGAGATATTACTGAACTGGATAATTTCTCAGGTGAAATAAAGGTGCTCGTATTCTCTACTTGAGAAGCATTTCGGGTTTGTTTGTCAGGATACCTCTGATAACTGTCTGGTTGTGTTAAGAAATGATGTGATCTTTGATTGATATTTCAAGCAGTTGCCCGTGTATGTGTTCTGGGAAGTCAAAGGATATGCAAACTGGATCTAGGTAAACTTTGTCCAAAATCATGCAAATTAACTAATCCGCGGACATGTTTGTGAACAGAGACTAAACATACAGAGACGATCTCATACCCACTGCCTCTTAACCTCAGTTGACAAATTTCTTTGGAGACTTCATGATGAAAGTATGTGGTACGTTTGGCTTTAGCAGTGTGTTGGTCAGTCTTTACTTGGGTGCTTCAATCGTTCGAAGCGGATTTCTCGGACTGTGGGTCTTGACTATCTTATAGGCATATCCAGGCTTTACCGCAGATGAAGCCCAGCTCTTTCGTAATTAAAAGTTTCAACTATTTCGTTTACTTTCGTTTTCAATTCGGCAGTGGTGATCGTTTAACAATTGATTTGATCAGAGAGGATGGGATTCATTTTTCAAAATATTCATCCTTTTGAAGGATGGCATATGTAACGCCAGCTGGACATGCAGGTAAAGTCATCAATCGGTATTAAATACCGATTGATGACTCCTACATGAGTAGCCACAACTCTAATAACTCAAGAGCTTTCGCTAACAAAGCCAATTTGTAGTATTAGAGAGAGAAGAGCATAATGATATACTGCCCGTCCCTCGCCCATCTTTCTCTCCCTACTTTCGTAACCAGCATAATTTATCGTCATTTCCTCCTCTTCTCTCTGTCCTCCCGTGGTGATTGAATAACAGACGAGAGATAAAATTGGCAACTCAAAAAATATATAAATAAAGTACATGCACCGACGAGAGTCCCTGCATGTATCTAATTAACAATGTGATACGAATGTTACAGAAACTAGCAAAGTCGAGAAGTGAGGAAAATAACACAGAACTGGAATGAATACTTAAAAAAATCAGTAAGAATCATTTATGTCAGGTAATGTCTTATGGGATGTAATGGGATATTTCCCCCTCCCTTTTCTTTCCTATTTCTCCCTCTCCTTAACTGACTCTCCCACCTCTCCATAACTTATTCTCCCCATCCTTCTTACTCTTCCTCCCCTCTCTGTAACTAACTCCCTCCCCCTTTTCTCGTTGAGAAGAGGTAAGAATTAATTCTCCTTAACCATTCCCCAGCACTGCTTAAGATGGACGTCCTGAAGGTTAGGTTTGGTGTGTGGCTGGGTTGGTGATAGGGAAAATGTGTTGATGGACTTGGCAAGGTCAAGCCTCCGGTAGAGACCTGGCGGAAGGGTTCAGAGTTGTTTTGTTTGGACATGTATCACTGACGATGTAATCTGAGGCATGCATTGTGACAAAGGTGAGGGGGGTGGATGTTACACTCGACGGATAATTAACGTGTAATAACACTTGTATTTAACAATCGACTGTGATCAGATAGTCTGCGTATTCAACAGATTTACAGCAGCAAATTATGACTTTTCGATGATCATACTATAACCGTGACTATTTATCTGGCTATACTAGTTGTCTCTTCATCTGTGTCTGGTGGATAAGAGCAGCGGCGTGTCACATACGGTGGCAGTAAGGTAATAAGGTAAGTGTAATGTCATGGTAATGTTAAGCTGCAGCAGATGTCAACACGACACACTGGGCCTCCACTACACTACCTCCGGGCCAGCAGGCATCAGTCTTATACTCCTGTTAAAAGTTATATTGCTTTTCCTATTATTATCACTATTTCTAATCCAACTCTTACTAATACTACTATTAAAATTAATAATAAAAATGTTATTAATAACAATATTAATAATTCAATTTTTAATAATAACAATAGTAATAATAAAAAATTAATAAAAAAATACTAATAATACAAATTACCATTAGTATTATATTGTTATAATCATTATTATTATTGTTAATAGTATTTTGCTTTAGTTGCTGGTGTCATGCCAGAAACACAATTTCTCAGATTGAGATTCTCGAGAATGTGGCGTTATTGAGTGTTAGTCAACCCTTGAAGCAAGGCAAGTTTTGAAGGAAACTAATTCTTCTTTTACCAGTTTTACGACACCCAGACACTAACAGTGCTCTCTGGCAGCACCTAGTCATGAGTAACAACGACAGCCGCTCCTGTCAAACCGCAGCAAAAAATTACCCACCGCCCTGGTAATTTAGAGAGACTAGAGTCAACAAGTTACTCTTGTTTTCTAGCCTTTGAGGCAACGAGGCTACACACGAACTGAGCCATGATCTCCCATCTCCCTGGTCCAACTACTTGGGCTGGACGGTAGAGCGACGGTCTCGTTTCATGCAGGTCGGCGATCAATCCCCGACCGTCCAAGTGGTTGGGCACAATTCCTTCCCCTCCCCCCGTTCCATCCCAAATCCTTATCCTGACCCCTTCCAAGTGCTATATAGTCGTAATGGCTTGGCGCTTTCCCCGGATAGTTCCCTTCCCTTCCCATCTCCCTGCTACAATAAGGCTCTACACCTCCAGTCCTCTAAAGCCATTTTAGGTTTTATGGTTGTAAGTGTTTCTCACACCAGATGGATTGATCGCTGTGTTCTCGCTACCGTTTTAACGTATGTTAACGTCACAGTAACGACTCGTTACTAGTCCAGGTCTCCGGATGCGCCAAGAAGGATAATCCGTCCACTGGCTGGTGGTAACGTTATATCCCATCACTCAAAGGCCGCCATACCCTGCCCACTGTCTCCAGCCTACTAGACCTTCACTTTAACGTTCTGAGATATTATCCTTCTATCTCTGCATCCTGGTTATCTAAAAGGCTGCACAAATCCCGGACGTATCCTTCTACTACATTTATACTAAATTATTAAAAGTAATATACACAATAAAAGAAATCTGCTGGTTATAAACTAGGCTGTTGATACACGCTACCAACAGTGATAACGAGTATTACCTGTGATACACGTTATCACAGTTCTGGATATTACTCCCAACATTTAGCCCCACACTTCTGCCTGCTGCCCGAGCCCATCACGGACACATCCAGCATTTCCCAATACATGTCTTCAATTTTTACCAAAATGCTAACACTTCGTTTCTTGTGATTCAGACCAACTGTAAATGGGCAAGCGATAAGTGAAGGAGTAACAGACAACGGGAGAACATTTACCAGGAATATCTCTCGTTCAGTTATAATGCAGACATGATAACATTCATCTAATCTCCCACTCTGGGCACACATGAACGGTATACACTGTATCATTTAGAGTGCATTATACATTACTAATAATAATCCAACCTGGATAAGAACACGCCAAGGAGAGGTAATCGGTAAGGCACAGACAAGTTGATCACAGGAGGGAGTTGTGGTAAGGTGGGCTTGTGTGGAGTGGGTTGGGTGTGGTGGTTATATAGAGATTAAGAAGAGGTAATTAGGGCTAGAAGTTTTTCAGCCCCGCTCCTGTGCCAGGTAAGTCCTTCACGGGCTCACCATATCCCGTGCTACTTGGAACTTTTAGTTCCCAGTAGCTGAATCTTAAGCAACAACAGGTAAATAAGTCTGGAAGGGAGTCAAAGTATGATACCTGATCAATCAGGCTGTGACTCATACGTCAGGCTGCGAGCAGTCGCGTCCAACAGCCTGGTTGACCAGTCCAGCAACCAGGAGGCCTGGTCGACAACCGGGCCGTGGGGACGCTAAGCCCCGGAAGCACCTCAAGGTATGTGGAGTCGAGTACGTCTTGGGTGGAGATGATGAGGTGGAAAGTGTGCAATATTTCTGGGTTAAGTTAGGTGAATAGGTGTGAAATGGAGGTGGGATAGGTGAAAAAATGTACGGTGGGACAGGATAGGGTGTTGGGCAGGCAGGTGTGGAGTGGGACGAGGTGAGATTGAACCCAAACCAACGCTGAAGAGAAATTAGCGTTTGTAAGTCGAGCTGCCCCCTGAAACACGAGCTTCAAAACGACTGCAGCTTTTAGACAAGTCTAATAGAAACGTAATTTTCAGGAGTGTACAGGATATATACAGCATTTTCACTTCAACTTAAACAACTTTCGTTTCACTTATAATATATATATATATATATATATATATATATATATATATATATATATATATATATATATATATATATATATATATATATATATATATATATATATATATTATAAGGGACTTGACAGGGACTTGATGAAATTAACGTCTAAATGACCCCTCACTTGCTCTGGTGCTCTTGGGAGGTGTTGATCTTTGGGGGATTTAAATACTCCAAAATTACCATCTCTTTTAAGGGTCTGAGCGGTGGTGCAGAGGGTTAAGGCGTACCTGTTATGCCAGTTGCTGGAAGGCTTCTGTGCTGGCTAGGGTTCGAGTCTCCTGGTGGGAAAGTGTTCTAAAGTTGTATACTTAACTCTCGTGTTTAGGAGAGTTGTGCCTTAAGCAGAGACACTGTGTCTTCCCATATTAACAGGGACTTGATGAAATTAACGTCTAAATGACCCCTCACTTGCTCTGGTGCTCTTGGGAGGTGTTGATCTTTGGGGGATTTAAATACTCCAAAATTACCATCTCTTTTAAGGGTCTGAGCGGTGGTGCAGAGGGTTAAGGCGTACCTGTTATGCCAGTTGCTGGAAGGCTTCTGTGCTGGCTAGGGTTCGAGTCTCCTGGTGGGAAAGTGTTCTAAAGTTGTATACTTAACTCTCGTGTTTAGGAGAGTTGTGCCTTAAGCAGAGACACTGTGTCTTCCCATATTAACAGGGACTTGATGAAATTAACGTCTAAATGACCCCTCACTTGCTCTGGTGCTCTTGGGAGGTGTTGATCTTTGGGGGATTTAAATACTCCAAAATTACCATCTCTTTTAAGGGTCTGAGCGGTGGTGCAGAGGGTTAAGGCGTACCTGTTATGCCAGTTGCTGGAAGGCTTCTGTGCTGGCTAGGGTTCGAGTCTCCTGGTGGGAAAGTGTTCTAAAGTTGTATACTTAACTCTCGTGTTTAGGAGAGTTGTGCCTTAAGCAGAGACACTGTGTCTTCCCATATTAACAGGGACTTGATGAAATTAACGTCTAAATGACCCCTCACTTGCTCTGGTGCTCTTGGGAGGTGTTGATCTTTGGGGGATTTAAATACTCCAAAATTACCATCTCTTTTAAGGGTCTGAGCGGTGGTGCAGAGGGTTAAGGCGTACCTGTTATGCCAGTTGCTGGAAGGCTTCTGTGCTGGCTAGGGTTCGAGTCTCCTGGTGGGAAAGTGTTCTAAAGTTGTATACTTAACTCTCGTGTTTAGGAGAGTTGTGCCTTAAGCAGAGACACTGTGTCTTCCCATATTAACAGGGACTTGATGAAATTAACGTCTAAATGACCCCTCACTTGCTCTGGTGCTCTTGGGAGGTGTTGATCTTTGGGGGATTTAAATACTCCAAAATTACCATCTCTTTTAAGGGTCTGAGCGGTGGTGCAGAGGGTTAAGGCGTACCTGTTATGCCAGTTGCTGGAAGGCTTCTGTGCTGGCTAGGGTTCGAGTCTCCTGGTGGGAAAGTGTTCTAAAGTTGTATACTTAACTCTCGTGTTTAGGAGAGTTGT